ATGTGAGAAACATATCGTCCCCGTAGAGGATTTGGACGTTTTTCAAGAGGCGGTGGAATATGAGTAGATTCTATTGGTGGACAAAAGGGAGATGAAACCAGAGAAGAAGCTGACCAATTTTTTTGATTGGAAGAAAATGGGGAAGATGAATCATTTTGAACTTATATAGACCTGTTAGGGTTTAGGGTGTGGGTTAGGCTTGGGAAAAATAAATTTGTTAAATCTCATTTGTTTATTAAATAAAATTTTTGTTGGACTGATTTTTAATATGTAGTTATATTTTTTATTTTCGTTGGAAGTTAATGTGTGTGTGTGTGTGTGTGTGTATATATATATATATATATATATATATATATATATATATCTTTCCTGTACCTATCTTTATATTTAATAATAGGTATACTTTTTATTATGATTATTAATTTTGTAATCTTCAAAAATAATATTATTGCAAACCTATATTTCAACAATATAATTAAAATTAAAATATTCATAATCGGTATCCTTATTCGAATTAACGAATATGTAGGCTTAGGGTTATACTATGGGCCGGACTTTTGTTTATTATTATTGTATTTGGACCTAAAAAATGGATTATTTATGGTTCCAAAATATTTCTTTAATTAGTAGGTAGTTATATTTTTATGTATGTATACAAGAGTGTTTGTATTCTTAACTTTTTTTTTGGATCTTCTTTATTACTCCGTATTATTTAGTAAATGGTAATGGTGATTAATAATCATTCATATTTTAAAAAAATACACATGCATATATTTATTTATGCATACTCATCTTTAATCCGTGCATCGCACGGGACAAATACTAGTTTCTATATATGCAAGAAAAGTAAGTGAAAGCAGTATATATATAACCCTTAGCTTGTTCGAACTTTTGGATTTATGTTTGCATCCAGTTTCATCTCCATTTTGAACCAACGTATTTTAATATGATATAAAGTTAATGTATTTTTTTATTTTTATTTTTATTTTTGGTAGTGTATTAAAACTATATATTGTGACGAAGAGGCTACGGAGAATTCTAGAAAGTGTCTTCATTGAGTAGGGGTGAAAGAAAACAAAATTGAATTACAAAGAAGCCTTTTGTCAACTTATACAACTCACGGTTATAACAAAAAGAGGAAGGAGAAAAATACAATAATACCTTTAACCTCTATCAGCTTTATTGTTACCCTCTAACACCCCCTCGTAAGTTGGCGCGTGTAAGTCTTGAATGCCCAACTTAGACACAAACATATGAAAGGGAGAAACATGAAGAGGTTTAGTAAATCCATCAGAAACTTGATTAGGTGATGATACAGAAAGAAGCTTGATAAGCCCTTGAGAGACTTTTTCACGAACAACTTGGCAATCGATTTCGATATGCTTAATGCGTTCATGGAACACGTGGTTTTCAGCTATGGCAACGGCAGACTTGCTGTCACAGAATGAAGTAGCCAATTTTGTCATCTGCACATGCAAGTCTGTAAGCAAGGAGTTAAGCCACTGGATTTCGCAAATAGTAGTCGCCAGAGCTTGGTACTCCGCCTCTGAAGAAGACTTCGACACAGTGCTTCTTTGATTTCCAAGATATGAGAGCAGAGCCAAAGAACACACAGTAACCGGTGACAGACTTGCGAGTCTCCATGCAGGATGCCCAATAAGAGTATGAGAAAGAATTTAGGTGCATAGTATTATTGGCTGGATAGGAGAGACCTTAGCTAGGGGCTCCCTTGATGTACCGTAGAACACGTTGAGCAGCCACCGGATGCTTGTCAGTTGGGGCATCAATGAATTGGCTTAATTGTTGGACGACATAACTAATATCAGGCCTTGTTGCCGTGAGATAAAGCAGTCACCCCACCAACCTTCTGTAAGTGCCAGCATCATGAAGAGCTTTACCATCCCCGTGCATCAAATGATGGCCAGGAACCATCGGAGTGCTTGCAGGCTTACAATCGATGAAACCAGTTTCGTTTAAGATGTCTAGAGCGTATTTGCGCTGACATAGATTCAGTCTAGATTGCCTAGATCCTTTATCTTAAAGGCATTATCAAGGAAATTTTTCAGCTCTCAGATGAGATTAATATATCCACTAGCAACCAAAATGTCGTCAACATAAAATAAGAGGGCAATGAACGACGTACCACAACCTCTAGTGAATAACAAAGGGTCCGACTTGGATTGTGCAAAACCAATGTGTATCAAGGAATTAGTTAGCTTAGCGTTGCACTACCGGCTGGCTTGTTTCAATCCATAAAGTGAACGCAGTAGCCGACACACTTGATTTGGTTGGGTAGCTGAAATGATGTAGAAAGTGGGGTGATGTAGGATGGAAAGTGTAAACGAGGATAGAATTCCCGAGTATCAAACTCAAAGATGGAAAGTCGGAGTAAATAGAATGCAGGACAATCACGTGTCACAGTGCATTACACGAGAAAACTAGGTGCAAGGAGTGTAGGTGAGAGCATGTGTGCAAGAGTGTACGGGGAAGAACATAACAAAAAAAAAAACACAAAGAAAATAAAGCGGGGTGTTGGATTGAATCACTAGACATTATGCATGCTTTGGACTACGGTGGATTTGAAGCAATCAAATCATGTCTCACTTTTGGGAGTGTGAGTAAGGCATTTTCTCAAACACCTAGCCTACGACTCATCCGGGCCTTGCCCTCTCGGATCGAAGGGCGGGTAACACCAATAAGTAGGACTTCGTAGAATTGCAATCTCTTGCCAATTCTACTCTCCCAGATTCCTCTCTTTATCACCCGTAATAAAGAGAGGATCAACACAATACATTATTCGCAACAAAAGTATCAAGACACAATTTCATCATTAAATCTCTAAAACAATTATAGATCAAGCATACATAAATCTAGATCTTCAAATCCAACACCTAAGAAATTAGCTACTCATATTCATAATCAATAATCCCAACTCATACAAAATAGGCATCATCAAATTAAACAATGAAAAGATAGATCTCAAGAAATTACCCAAATTGTAGAGTCTAGATTACCAACATTCAAGGTGGAAGATGAAGATCCTACAAGGAATTGCTTGAATCTCCTTCTTCTTCATACAAAATTGAGAGTATTGAGAGCTAATTTCTAGAGAGAAGTTGGAGAGAATTCTAACCTAATCTAACCTAAAAATCTAGAGAGAGAAATATTGTAAGATGAACAATGAAGAATGATCCCTTTTCCTAGATCTGAAATTTCGCTGCCTTTAAATCTCGCCTTAGATTTCGGCTCCCTATTTACGCAGCGCTCACGAGCGTGACGTGGGCGTAAATGGGGAATGATTCCTCTTTCCACGCGCGCGTCCTCCATTCGTTGCCAAGTCACGCACCCCTTCACGCCGTAGGTACGGCATAAATGGGAAATAACTCCCCTTCCACGCTTCTTTACTTCACCATGTTATGCAGCCAATTACGCAGTGAAGTTGGTGTAAACGGGGAATAATTCCTCTTCTTCTTTCTTACGTGTGTGGCTATGGAGTAATTGGTGTCTTGGATGTACACTTTTCTTGGCTTTGACTATTTTGTTCTCTTTTGCCACTTTTCTTGTTTAAAAACACCTAAAAACATAAAAAATGCATTTGGGAAGGTATCTTCGTGCTAAATCACGTTTCTAAAATAATTTGCTATAAAATACACGACTTTAAGGCTAAAACATGCGAAAAACACCTTCAAAGTTCTCTAAAAAACTAGCATCTTTTGACGCTTATCAGTAGCTTGAAATTCAAGAGGTAACACCATGTAAACCTCCTCTTGTAGGTTTCCATGCAAGAAGGCGTTATTAATGTCTAACTAATGAACATGTCAAGCGTTAGAGGTGGCTACCGCAAGGAAGGAGCGAATGGTAGTGAGACGAGCCATTGGAGAGAATGTCTCAATATAACCAATTCCAAGTTGCTGAGTGTAGCCATTGGCTACCAATCTTGCTTTGTACCTCTCTACCGTGCCATCCGCCTTGATCTTGACTTTGTAGACCCATTTGCATCCTATGGAAGTCTTACCAGGAGGCAAAGTAGTTAACTCCCAAGTGTTATTATCTTGAAGAGCCTTAATTTCTGCACTCATGGCCTCTTTCTAACATTCAGATTGAATAACTTGATTGTATGTTCGTGGTTCACTAACAATCGTGACTGCCATGGAGAAGACATTGTGAGTAGGAGCAAGATGATTAAAGGATACTAACTTTGATACTGGATGAGGTGACGAGCCATGTCTCACAACAGCATCGCATTAGTAGTCCTGTAATCGACTTGGAGCATGTCGAATTCTGTTAGAACGTCTAGGCTGTGTGGACAACACATGTGCTTCTTCTGCGTGATCATTTTGTGAGCTGTGATTTTCTTCAATAGTATCTTTTTGTGTCGAATTATCATCTGCCCCCATGCAAGGCTTGTTGTTAATAGAAGGTGAATCATCATATGGTTGTCTCTATCCAATCTGCTCATAGATCATAGGAGTATAAATAGGGATGTTAGGTCAGCATGGAGAGAATTGTTCTGCTCTTGGTTCATCTAGATGGTGTTCCTTGGCCAAAGGAAATTGGTTCTCATAGAATGTTACATCTCGAGACACAAATATGGATTTTCGTTGAATGTCATAGAAGATATACCCTTTAACATTAGTTGGCATACCAACGGAAACACACTTCCTGCTTTTGGGTGCCAGCTTATGCCTAGCGTGTGACAGAGTGGAGGCATAGCAAAGACAACAAAAAACTCTAAGCATATCAACTGAAGGATCCTTGCCATATAATATACGGTAAGGACTCAGCCCTTGGATAATTGGTGAAGGAAGCCGGTTGATGATGAAGGTGGAATGCATGACAGAATACCCCCAGAACTCAAGAGGAAGCTGAGCCTGAAACCGTAGAGCCCTGGCAACGGCAAGTATGTATTGATGCTTTCGTTCGACGATAGCATTTTTCTACGGAGTGTTTACGCAAGATTTTTGGTGGATAATGCCTTTCTCATGGAAGAACTCCACCATACTTGAATACTGGACTATTATCACTACACAGAACCTTGATGGAGACACCAAACTGTGTGTGTATCATATTATAGAAGCCCTTAATTAGAGCCCTCACCTCGGATTTGTTTCACATGAGATGTTATAGAAGCCCTTGATTAGAGCCCTCACCTCGGATTTGTTTCACATGAGATGTATCCATGTGAACCTCGAGTGATCATCAACCAAGGTAAAAAAATATCGTTCACCCTTCATTGAAGAGACTGTAAACGGACCCTATATATCTGCATGCACTAGATCAAAACATGCATTTGTAGAAGTGACACTCAAGCTAAAGGGGGAACGGTTATGCTTGGAAAGATGACAAACATCACATGCTAAAGTCTTATTTGAATGCGTGGGAATATCATTCAACAAATGCATTTTGTTTATTTGAAAATGGCCCAATCTTTGGTGCCAAATTTCATGACTAATACAAGACATAGTAAGATGTTTAGGAATATTAACAGTTTGCACAAGTGGCTCCATCAGCAAATATAAACTCTTCTCCTGCTTAGCTAAACCAATTATCCTTCCAAGTGTCTCCTGAATCAAACACTGACTAGATGAGAAATCCATTTTATAAGATGTATCTTGAAGCAATTTACTGACAGAGATTATGTTGAACTAGAAAGAAGGAATGTGCATAGCATCTTTTAGCCATAGACTATTTCCAATCTTTATGTTCCCTATGTGTTTAACAGCCACATGTACGTTTTCCAGTTAGTAGGTTTACCCCTGCTCCGTCATCCCCTCGATACTCATTAAAGAAGTCAAGAGAACAAATAATGTGATCGATTGCCCCAGAATCAAGTATCCAAGTAGAGGCACATAGAGAAAGAAAATTAATATGAGAGGTGACATACTTGCCTTCATTCATGGATTGTGCTTTAGTGAAACTTGGGACCAATGAGACTAATGCATTGGTATTAGGAGTGGAGCATTGTCCCATTCAAGATTGGAGAACTGCTATAAGTTTCTGCAGCTGTTCGGGAGTGACTCCAAGATCTGCCATGCTGCTAGTAGCTGCTGTATTGCTAGTAGCTGCCGTCATGGTTTGTTGCTTATTCTTAGATTTGTAGCCGGGTACCCATTCGGGGGGATAGTCGTGTTTCTTGTAACACTTTATTGATGCCTGCATTTCTTCTTGCATTATAGGTGTTGATTGCCGTTATAGTTTCATCTGCTTGTGGCTGAAGGTTTTAAACAGCATTAACATGGCTTATTTCCAGATTATTCAAGCTTAGCTTCTCCAAATTTAACTACCTTTCAAGCTTTTCTGCCATCACGAATAGACTTCCGGCAGTGGATCCATCACAAGAACACCGAATCTCAGGCTACTATAATCCTCATTTAGACCTTGGAGAAATCTTATTACCTGATCAACCTCACGTTCGCTTCTTATTTCATCGATAACGTCACAAGAACATCTTGGATCACACTTGCACATAGGAAGAGGCCTCAAGGTGTTCGTCTCTTCCCAAAGAGTTCTACATCTGGTGTAATAATCATTGACGCACATGTTGCCCTGCTTTAAGGTGTAGATTTCATTCTGTAACGCCGAGATGCGATGAGGATTGCGTTGAGAGAATATTCTCCTCAAGTATTCCCATACATCCTTCGCCTTATCTATATGCATTATGCTCTGTGCAATCGATGGGTGAACTGCCTTGAAGATCCATGAACACACCATCAGATTGCACCTTCTCCATGCAGCGAACTCAGTTTGACCTCTGGCCGGCGTGGTGATAGTTTCGTCGACTGCACTCCATTTATTCTCCACTTCAAGCGCAATTCTCTTAAATATGCAATCCATAGTTCAAACTTCCAGTTAGAGGAGGAGTAACTAGAACATCGCATGGATTATCATTTATGCTGAGAAACAAAGGATTTTCCAGATTCTCTAGATCTCGATTCTTATGTGTGAATAAATTCCATTGTGGAGCTATTATTGGAGTGTTGTGAGTAGGAGAATGCGTGATCAATGATCCTGGTCGCGTTCCTTGACTCGTATCGCTGATGCCGAAGACAGTGGCGACGTAGGTCACTAGTCGTGGCTCTGATACCATGACGAAGAGGCTACTGGAGAATTCTAGAAATTGTCTTCATTAAGAAGAGTGGAAGAAAACAAAACTGAATTACAGAGAAACCTTTTGCCAACTTATACAACTCCCGATTATAACCGAAACAGGAAGGAGAAATACAATAATACCCTCAACCTCTATCAGCTTTATTTTTACCCTCTAACATATTGAATGGCCAGGTGTGTAATTGGTGAACTCTTCACTACCAAAATGGGGTTACTAAAGACCCTATCACTTTCTTCCTAACTGCCATTGGCCATAGTCACATGGATCATCACTTTCGATTTTCATTCGAATTTAGAGGGTACACTTGTGGATCACCAAAAACAAAATATTGGCTTAGTTGGCTTGATTTGAATTGATGGGTTTATAATATTGATCTTGTGTACTAGTTTAGCAGACTTAGGATGTTTTTGGGACTGTTTGGCGGGTAGTGGTAGAGGCGTGGTTGCATAGGAGTCATTATTCAATAGATCATGTTTCACATTGTTGTGTGGTTCACAAATAAAAAATACATAATTTGTGTACATAAAGTATATTATTTGAAAGTACATTATTTGAGTACTGAAAGTACATTATTTGTATACTATCAAATAATGTACATTCGGTACACAAATAATGTACTTTTAATATATTAAAAATGTACATTGTATTAATGGTGCACAGAAAAATTTGTCGTTGTGTAGTTGTGTCCGTGGCTTGCCTATGGTTGCGATGTTGGCAGCATGCTGAGCATTGCCTTTTTGTATGTTACTTAGGTTTTGTGTATATTAGAGCATCCACATCAGTTACATATTTATCACGGTTTTTTATGTGCCAGTTAGGAAAGAGATAAGTGGGCAAGAAAAAAAGAGAAAAAAAAGGCTAACAGTCAAAATAGACAGAGAAATAAAAAAAAAATTACGGTTTCCACGCGCCCAGCTAGGCACATTAGTGCGCCTACTGTGGGAACTCTTGAAACTTTTTTTTTCTTTCTTTCAGTTGCAAAAAACCAACTCTTGCAGGAGAACAAACCCTAAAAAAACCCACCGACCCATCAATTAAAAACCATCCCAATTTTTTTCACTATTCCAAAAAACTCACAAAAGTGCATTGATATGGATGCTCTTAGGCCTATTAGCTCATACTCTTTTTGTCTAAGGGTGTGTTTAAAATTCTAAAAAAATGATTTATGGAAATCATTTTCCAGACTTCCAGTGTTTGGCAAAGCATGAAAAATTAAAGTCAATAGAAAATCACTTTGGGCCAAAGGGAAAATAACATTGTTTTCCTTGAAATCAACTCCCCCCATTTTTTTTTTTTTTTTTGGGTGGATACTTCCCCCATTTTTTGCAATTGTTATATCGTGGACTAGGGTCCACAGTGCACTATGGACTCTGGTCCAATACTCAGAATTTATGTTCATAATGCACATAATTCATGTTCATAAAACACGTACACATAAACACGATATAATGAACATGAATTCTGTGCATTATGAACATGAATTCTGTGTGTCATATAGTTGAGGACAAATAAACACTTAACATAATACATATAATTCATGTTCATAATGCACTGAATTCATGTTCATTATATCGTATTAATATGTATGTGTATTATGAACATGAATTCTGTGCATTATGAACATGAATTATGTACCTTATGTAGTCAAATTCTGTGCACTGTGGACCCTAGTCCACAATATAATTTGCCCATTGTTTGGGAAGTCATTTTCCAAAGTCACATGTTGTCGCCCACCCAAACCTTCTTCTCCCTAACCTCGCCATCCAAGTCGTCGTTGTTCGTCACGCTCAGGTCGTCGCTGAACATCGCTGCCAGCCACCATTGCAACGCCTAGTGCTACCATCGATCACCACGACGAGCTCCCACTGTCGTCGCCCAGTCGCTGTAAATTCAATTCATCGTCCGAGAAGAGAAAAGAGAATTGAAAACAAAGATTACATTAAACAGAGATCCCCAGGATTTCTCAAAACCCATACAAAATCTTTCCAAAATTTTCCACATTTGTTTGTAGAGTATTCAAAAATATTTGTAATTCTAATCAAACGCAAGTGGGTAATAGTCATATCAAATGGGCCAATAGAAGAAGAAAAAGAGAAAATGAGAAGTTTTATATGCAGAATGAATGATGAAATGGTCTGTATATATTGTAGTGTTAGCTTTTGTAAAAACTTGAAAATTGAAGTTAAACGTTACCCCATACAATTTTGGTCATGTTTCAGAAAATGAACCAAATATATTAAGTCAACTTACTAGAATGCAATCAAACACTGAAAATGAAAATGTTTTATAGAAAATGACTCATTTTAATTTCCAGAAAACATTTCCCAGAAGTCATTTTCTTATTTCCAAACGCGCCACCTAAGTGTTGGCACCCCATTGCCTTCTTTACTTGAACACTTGTTGATTTTGGGTAGGCTTCCTTTGGAGTTTGTACATATTGGTAAAAGTTACAATTTTTGCTCATTTTTTTCAGAAAATGAACCAAACATATCAAGTCAACTTTATGAAATGCAATCAAACATTGAAAATGAAAATATTTTCTAGAAAATGACTCACTTTAATTTCCAGAAAACATTTTCTAGAAGTCATTTTCTTGTTTTCAAACACACCCCCTAAGCGTTGGAACCCCATTGCCAGGGGCGGAGGGAACATGGGGGCACTGGGGGGGGGGGGGGGCTGCCCCCACTGACCAAAATTACACAGCCCCAATATATATATATATATATATATATATATATATATATATATATATATATATATATATATATATATATATATATATATATATATATATATATATATATAGAGAGAGAGAGAGAGAGAGAGAGAGAGAGAGGCGAGTTCAGGTGCGGCGGTGTCTTACGGTGCGGCATCACCAATAGTTCAAAAAATATACACCATCAACGTTAGGAAAATACACCACAAAAAACAAAGACAAATTAAGTACGCATCACAAAAAAACACGCTATTAGATGTGAGTAAAAATACCATACAGTATTCGGAAGTACACCATTGGGGGTGGTGAGTTATATGGTGTATTTTTTTTTGGTCTATTGTGTATTTTTTGATGTTTTATTGCATTTCATTGTGGTGTGTTTTCCTTACACTGTTGATGCATATTGTTAACACTGTTGATGTATTATGAAGTTGGTACCGTTGGTAGGAAAACAAATAGTAATCAAATAAAAATGACTATTATTTTCTGGAAAGAAGGGAAGAAGAGATGAAGGAAAAAAGGCTAGTGTTTGGTGTTGGGTTTTTGCAAGAGTCGAGTGAGCACTCTTTCCTTAAAACCTTATTTGCCACCTCCCAAAGATGCTAGGAGCGTTGTGGCCTAGGCTTCCCAAGATAAAACTTGCTAGTGATTCAATGTTTGAGCACTCAAACAAGGAATCCGGCGAGCAAGACACGGCTATGAACACAGTATATCTTAAAGAAAGAGTAGAAGCAGAGAGGTTTTGAGGCTAAAAGATGAACTTTCGTGTTCTATATTTTCTGTGTAAAACTCTACTGCCCAACTACTCTTTATATAGGGGTGAAGGATTTAATAGCTTTTAATTAGGCACTTAAGGGCACCCCTTCACCTTCATGTAACAGCACCGTTAGCATGGCCTTATTCAAAATTTAAAATTGGAATTAACTCAGAAAATTAATTCCGTAACAATAGAATTGAAGAACCAACGGTCAGAAAACTGCACAGGTTCGTGTAGGCCGAAACTTCCAGTTTCGACCCCAGGCCGAAACTGGAAGTTTCGGCCATTGGGCCCTTTCAATTCTCGGCCCGCAAGGCCGAGACTTCAGGTTCGGCCAAGGCCGAAACTGCATGTTTCGGCCAGAGGCCGAAACCGCATGCTTCACTGCTTTCGGCCACCACAAGGCCAAAACCAAGGTGTGCCGAAACTATGTTGGAAAACCAAGGTGTGGCCAAAACTATGTTGGAGGTGTGGCCAAAACTATGTTGGAAAATGACAGTCCGTTTGGCATAACTTAGCCCGCAGGTGCCGGCGCACACGAGCTCGGGCTTGAATCAAGCCTTTTCAATCTCTGCTAGTTGGAATTTGATTTGCACCTTCCCCCCACCCTCGCGCGAGAGAGCCTCTATGCTATACAATTCTACAAGCTTCAAAAGAGCTCTTGTATATAAGGGGGGAAAATCTTCATTCCAACGCAATGTGGGACAAAAGCTCACTTTTTCCCTTCATTTTCCAACTCAAATGGGTCTACTTTGAGAATCAATATCTCATTCACCCATTATCCGTTTTGAGCGTACAATATATCGATCTCTTCGTCTCACTACGAAGAATCCGAATCCACTTTAACCCGACCCAAATCGGAAGTGGAACCCACTGATAATTGTACCACAAAATAGCCACTTAACATGCCATTTTATGCCATTTTAAGCTATTTTTTTCAACAATCCCCCACATGAATGAAAAATTGATTTTCGGGGTATTTTGATATCGGAAACAACTGTGTTCAAACGGTCGATCGCTGCATAGGATAGGTAGGGAGTCACTATACCCTTTGAACCTTTCCTCGTGAAGACATGTTTACTCTACTGGCTGTACGGTAGAACGCGATGTCTTTGAACCGACTGCCGTTTGTGTAGACGATGACATATCTCACATAGGAATCTCCCAAACATGCTCTTGCTCTCATGAGTGTGCCCGTTTTGGTCGTGGGTCACCGTTCCTGGTTCTGCGAGAGTTTCTAAAGAATTGTGCCCAACAATTCTCCTTTGAAGCGACCCTCACTTCTCTCTAACATAGGTGATTCTTTCTCGAGTATCCCGCACACTCAAGAATCATTAAAGCATTAACATGCTAGCCTCTTGCGGGAGTCACTGTTTTAATGAGGAATGGTAGGGAGTCCGAGACCCCCACAGTGACGCGTTCCGTTCCATAATTTAGTTGTCCCATTGAACCTAGGTGCCAGCTAGGTTGGGTATCCACTATAGAACTTTTTAGTCCAAGGGCATTAGACCCATTCCTCGTGTCAACTTCTCCACAACTTCTCTTCCTAACCCTTTGGTCAGCGGATCCGCTATATTGTCTTTTGACTTTACGTAGTCAATCGAGACAACACCAGTTGTGAGCAGTTGTCTAATGGTATTATGTCTACGACGCACATGTCTAGACTTACCATTATACATATGACTCTGTACTCTCCCGATTGTGGCTTGACTATCGCAATGCACACATATTGGAGGTACCGGTCTTTCCCAATTAGGAATATCCTCTATAAAATGGCGTAGCCATTCAGCCTCTTCACAACCTTTGTCCAAGGCTATTCGCTCAGATTCCATCGTGGATCTAGCTATCACAGTTTGCTTAGAGGATTTCCATGCAACGGCTGCACCGGCAAGTGTAAACACGTAGCCACTCGTGGACTTAGAGTCCTTAATATCAGATATCCAGTTCGCGTCGCTATACCCTTCAAGTACAGTGGGATATCTCCCGTAGTGCAGTCCAAGATCACGAGTATACCTCAAGTATCTCATAACTTTTACTATTGCCTTCCAGTGCATAGCACCGGGGTTACTCGTATATCTACTGAGTTTACTAACCGCATAGGCAATATCCGGCCTAGTACAGCTCATAAGATACATCAAACTACCAATGACCCGAGAATATTCCACTTGAGAAATACCTTCTCCGTGGTTCTTGGTTAGATGAATATTTGTATCAAATGGTGTCCTAGCCACTTGACTATCATCCTTGTTAAATTTCTCAAGGATTTTGTCAATATAATGTGATTGGCTCAACACGAGACCATCAGGTCTTCTAATGATTTTAATCCCGATGATTAAATCAACCAAACCCATATCCTTCATGTCAAATCTCGCATTTAACATGTTTTTAGTAGACTTGATCATCCGATCATTACTACCAACGATGAGAATATCATCGACATATAAACAAAGGATGACATAGCCGTCTATCGTTTCCTTAACGTAGACACATTTGTCACTTTCATTTATTTTAAACCCGTTAGTTAACATCGCATGGCCAAACTTCTCGTGCTACTGCTTAGGCGCTTGTTTTAAACCATAGAGCGATTTAACTAACTTACACACTTTCCTTTCTTGGCCCGGAACCACGAACCCTTCGGGTTGTTCCATATAGATTTCCTCATCTAATTCACCATTTAGGAAAGCGGTTTTCACATCCATTTGATGAACTTCCAAGTTTTGCAACGCAGCTATGGCAAGTATCATCCTAATGGAGTTTATTCTCGTCACGGGAGAATACGTGTCGAAGTAATCGAGGCCCTCGCGTTGCCTGTAACCCTTGATTACAAGTCTGGCCTTATACTTCTCGATGGAACCATCCGGTTTCATCTTCCTTTTAAAGACCCACTTGGATCCTAAGGGTTTACTACCCGGAGGAAGATCAACGAGTTCCCAAGTGTGATTCTGTAGGATAGAATCCACTTCACTTTTTATAGCCTCTTTCCACATTGGTCCTTCCGTAGAAGTCACAGCTTCTACATACGTTCGAGGCTCGTTCTCTATCAAACAAGATAGAAAATCGGGTTCATTTTCTAATAAACAAGTTAGAGTACCCGAATCGTACTCTAACAAGTAAGTTAGAAAATCAGGACCGAATGATTTTCCAACTCTCGCCCGCTTACTGCGTCTCGGTTCGAGCTCGGGTTCTCTCTCGAATTCCCCACTATCATTATCTATAGTTTCGTCAAACGTTCGTTTTGACGTACTTGGTCCCTCGTTGGACCTACAAGGAAATATATTTTCAAAGAAATATGCATTCCTTGATTCTATTATCGTGTTCTCATGTACATCCGGATTAGGGGACTCGTGTACTAAGAAC